TTGCCCCTCCATTGAGCCAGGTACTCAGTTTATTGGCCTTGGAAGGATGGAAGTTTGAGTCAGCTACTGGAGCCTGGGATGGATCTCAGGCCATGAGCAGAGTCTTCACTACAGTTTTGCAGTTTAACCACTGTGTCATGAGGCTCCACTTCTACACCCCCTCCCAGAGAGTTTCCATGATTGAGGGGGGATTTGAATCCAGACCTCCTGAGTCATAGTCCTTCACTCTACCCACTACACCAGGGGTCTCCAAACTTTTCCCACGGAGGGCCCCATAATATATTTGCAATATTTTCGAGGGCTCAAGGAATGCGCACATACATGCACACACACATACGCGTGCATGCACTCCCCAGGTATGCGCACATACCTGCACACACACTCACCCAATATATTTGCAATATTTTCGAGGGCTGAAGGAGTGCGCACATACGTGCACACACACATGTGCGTGCATGCACTTCCCGCTCAACTGCACACACGCACTCTCACCCACCTGCATGCACTCCCTCCTGCATGCACACACTCTCAGCCACCTGCACGTATGCATGCCTGCTCGCCTGTCCCTGCATGCACACACTCTCAGCCACCTGCACATATGCATGCCTGCTCGTCTGTCCGCCCGCACAGACGGGCCAGATAAAAAGGCCAAGCAGGCTGGATGTGGCCCACGAGCCGTACTTTGAAGACCCCTGTATTACACCACTCTGAGTATCTGTAAATGGACAGAAGAAAGTATTTATTCTCCAATGCTGGCCCAAAATAAAGTCAGCTAGTTGTCATGTGCAGTATTAAAAATTAATCACAAAGTCAAAATATGAGCAGCGTCTTGAAGAGAGTGGACACAGAGAGCTCACCCCAGGTAGCGTCCTAAGGATCTAAGAAAGTGAACGGCTGTGTCCAGCACTGCCCCCATGTTCCGAGGTGAGTAGCCTACAGATCCAGCAAGGGAAGAGCATTTACTGTGAAGTCCTGGCAGCCAAAGGAGAGTCTGATGCATTGTTGCACTAGATTACTAAGCCCATGGAAGGAAAGGAGTCATGGTTGTCCAAATGTGAGGGAAGCTTGCAATTCCTGAAATAAGGTTTTCAAAATCCCATATTGCACCCACTTTACTCCAGAAGCCCCTATGGTTATTGGTCAGGATCATACATGGGAGAGAGAGTTTTCCAATGTCTGTG